CTTTTAATGAAATACCAAGTTCCCCCAAAAAGGTTCATGACATATAAATTTATACCATATAAACATGTCTAGTTTTTTTATCTCTTTATTATTATATCATAGAAACAATAATTCCCAATTAAATACAAGTGTTGATTGTATTTATTAATAACCATATTACTTAATAAATAATCAATTAATGTTTGCTTGTTATTAGGTGTGATCCTATAGGATCATATGTTATTAGCAAATATCATTTTATAATGATTCTTGAGCATAAAGATCTTTCACTACAAATGTATAGGCTCACCGTTCATCCTTCACTTCAGCATATTCATTCACGTGTTTGATGAATTCTTTGTGTTAATATCTTGATCAATTCCATCATTATATACTACTAAAAGGAGACAACATTGGGTATACTCCTTGAATTTATGACAAGTTCCACCACACATACATAACATCCAGTACTCAATGTTTGGCTTATGTGTTATTGGTAGGCCTTGAAGTCTGATGGGCGTTGGCCTCGTTAAACCTACTTATATTGGCGTCTTGTAGAGCCTTCTAGGTTGTAGGTGATCAATATTTATATTGGCGTCTTGTAGAGCCTTCTAGTTTTGAGACCATGTTTTGGACCTAATAAATGTACCAAATTGGTTGCAAAGCCATATAATCCAAGATATTGTAGTTCAAACCATTGATGTATCATGTCGCTTGTTGCTCTCATGTATTGTTAAAATCTTATATGTATTATATTCGTATAAACTCGGTTGTGTAATGTACTACAAACTGATTTCCTCGAGTTCAGTTATGGTATTGTTAGTAGAGAAATTTGATCATAATTATAGGGTAAGAATTACACCTTAAGCAGAAACTTCACAAACCACTCTGGCACTATACATTTTCATCATTCATCCCTCTTATGATTGCAACATGTTTCTGCCCGTGCACGAAGCTTGTATGTAATAATGTTCACATGCAAATCTTCTAAATGTCCATGATGTTAAAAATATTATTGACCTCCTATAGCTAGTCGAGAACGCCTTTAAGGTCAAGATTCACATTGAAATTGGTTACCTTAGCCTTCATGCAATAGCCTCCTCCATAACCATTTTGCTTGCTTCTACTACGTCAATCATCAAAAAATATCCCCTCTTCATGAAAGAAATCATTCACATGGATCAACTGTTTGTTGTTAACAAGCGGTCGACTGCATCATCTAGTATCAATTTTACCACGATTGTGTTGGGAGTATCATTGATTTCCCCCATGGTTGCCAATCTCGTGATGTTTATGGTCATTGGACCACCTACAATCATGGTGCATAGTTACTTAAGTTGTATAATGATATTATCTACATGTCATAAGTCCTCAACCAAGTGACCCCTACCATTTTGGGTTTGGTTGTTGGACTTCTTCAATGTCGTTTGTCTCATGATGCTAACAAACTCTATAACTAAATGACATAAGTATATTTTCTAGAGCTAATTAGAATTATAGAACAAGGAAAATGCTAGAGCTAAATGATATAAGTATATATTCTAATTATTTAAGTTGATAAATCTTCCATGGATAAAGCTAGAGCTAAATGAGCTTTGAAACGTTGATTAGTTTAATTATGTAAATATATCTGACTTAAATAATATGTTCGGACAACTATGTTTACAAGCTTCCGTTGTGACATATTATGACTTAGATTAATGTCATATAAGATTTATTTATTAAAAGTAATGGCCTAATAACTAATATGTTACGGTACCTAATATATTTGTGAACTAGTAACACAACACCACCCAATTTGAAAAACCAACTCACAAAGAAAACATAACCCACAAATTTGTCATCGTCTCATATGACCATTTTCTTTGTTTGCCGGCCGAATAAAAGTGCTTTAAGATGATACACAAGAACCGTATGCTTATCAATTTCTTTAGTATCGGACAACCATGGACGTGTCTTTCAACTATTTTATAAGAAACATACAAGTTATACGAATGACAACTAATACAAATCTATCGTTTATTTATCTTGAATCAAATAAATAACAAAAAGTTGACATATAATAATTCAAAATAAAATATGACATTAATATTCTAGCATTATGTTGAATGTTCACCTTGAAAAAAGTCAAAAGAAAAGTCCCAATCAAGAAAAGGCACACAAATTAGATGGCTCCGGAAATTCAATTTTGACCATTGAGGGTCCAACACTCTTTGAAAAATATGCTCGTATTGTCTCCAATATTCTAAGTTGTCAACTCCTTCAATTCAACCCTAAATTATGCAACCTACTATCTCGAAGGATTCTAAAGCATGGGTATGTCATATCTACAAAATAGGGGCGGAATTGTCTTTTTCTATCTATCATGTATTTAATTTTCTATCTATCTTATTTATGAATATTTTTGAATTGTATCTCATCAAATTCCGTTATTTTTGATTATTTTGTTTCACATTCACTTATCGAACCGTATAACAGGTCTAAACAAATGTTTATAAGAAAATGTCAAATGGGTCATGAGCCGAGTTTGATCGAAATGGGTTAGGTGGATTTAAAGTTAATGGCCTGTAGATCCATCTCCAAAGTCCAAAACAACTTCATACTTGTTTTAAAATTTAAAAGTTTTGAAATAACAAAAATAATTGTTTTTTGTTGAACGGCCGAATTTTATTAATTAAAAATTATCAAAAAGCTAACAAAACATTACAAATGAATTGAAAGAATATGGTTTAACAACCAAGCTCCCCGACTAATGCTAATTTTTCAATTCAGTTAATGAATTTCTTCTAACATTATTCCAACTAAAAAGGATGACGTTCCTAAAATTCCATAGAATCCACCATTTAGTCATAATAATCGATTCCAAAGCAAGCCTGTTTGTCATTGAAAGGTTAACTGAGCCATTGGCGACTTCACATGAAATAAGAAGATGCTTGAGATCTTTCATATCTGAATTACAAACACCACACACCACAGAAGGAACATCCATTCTTTTTGCATCCAAGTTTAGACGAGTAGCCAATCTATTAAAACGACAACTCCATTAAAATATATTGGTCTTCCTTATTTGATAATTATTTCATCTGGGTGAAATAGTACCATCAGGAGAGAGTTGTCATCAATAACCGTTCTAGCTTTCGTGATATGAAAGAGTACAACAAAGGACCAAATCGACTATCTGTTGCGGTTGTGCCAATATTGTCCCTCCATTAATCGACCGACTCCAAGACCAATCAAACAATTTTCCATTCCATCTTTGGCTGATTTTGCAACCTCAGTCGGTATCCAATAAAAATAACCGATTAAATCTCACCATCAAAGGACAATTACCAATCCATCAATCTTTCTAGAAATAAGTGGACATCCCATCACCTTCCTTTCTTTTGATAGCATCCCGATCAATAAATCCGCAGTTACGTGAATGAATACTCAACCAAACACATTTTATGTATTTATTATTTAATGATTTTTTTTTTGCCCCAAAAACCCTTGCTAGGGTTTGTGTTCTCGACCAAACAAGAAGGGAAAAAGGAGAAGAGAGAGTATGTGTGTTTAATTAGGGCCTCTTCTCAAACACTTCTTATCTTTCTGCCAAAAGAGTGCAACCATTGATCATTCGTTAAATCAAAACAACGAAAAAAATGTCCAAAAACAAAAACAAACATAACAACTTATGTCTTAAGAATGCGAAAAGCGACACCAACACATATTGATTTTTTCTATATAATACAATTTATATTTTATAGAGTTGTACAGTACAATACTTCAATGCACAAATTGTTATGTTTGAAAAAAAAATTATTATATACGAATCTATCAAAATATCAAACAAACAAAATAAAAGGATCAAAGTGTCAAACGGTCATAGTGGAGGGGGGGGGGGGACTTTTGATGTAAAGAAAAGGTTCTCCGTAAAAAGGGTATAAAAGAGAAAAACCAAATATTGTGGGTCGTCGTTTTCTCACCCGCCAAAAACAAGAATGCGGGCCCCACCCTTTCCTTCCTTGTGTTCTGTTCAACATTGTCATCCGTTCCCGGGCATCGGACCGACCACCGCTATTTTCAAAGCATTGACATAAATACCCTCCACTAGTTTCCTATCCTACATCAGTAATTTCTTAATAATATTATTATAAAATAAAGTTACAATAAATAGTAGATACAAACTTATCATAACTGTTTATTTCTAGTTAATCAATATTTTTATCAATATAATATCTATATTTAATTTACAATAAAACTATATCCATAACCTCCAGAAACTCATTCATCGTTTTTCCTCGTTTTTTCATAAATTTTATCTCTCTCCAACATTTCCTTATTAAAAAGAATTTAAAACTATAATAATATTTTTCGTTGATATTCATTACAAATTATAAGTTATTTATGTCGTTCTAGAAATAAATAGTTAATAGGTATCATTAAATGCGTGCATATTTTAAAATTTTTATTAATTTTAAAACAAAAAACTTTATTTTATGAATCATTCTGTTTTGACCGATTAAATTAGGAGAAACTCTATCAACGCATTAAATGAATTTATTGTTTTTCTCATAGAAGTGATTTAAAAATTTGCTAGATATGTAACAATTTTGCCTTTAATTTTAGGCATTATTTACTAACTTAAAATTTCTACCAATATGAGTAATGATGAAAGCTTTGATTTACTTACAATATTATTAAGAATAGCCGTCCTTTCTTGAAATCAAATTTGGTAGAGAAAACATAAATATACAAATAAAATTAAATTGGATTGCAGAAAAAAAAGAGGAAGATTTTAGTAGATCTTTGAAAACATAATTATATTATCCGATCTGTGTATCCAAGGGCAATTACGTAATTTTAGTAGAGAAAGATCCGGTGGATCGAGGAGTAGGGGGCGTGATTCCAGAAATTTGCTGGGTCGCGTGTTCCCTGGGCCCCACACTCTCTACGTATTTCCCCGCCTTTACTTTTTTTTTTTTTGTCAGGAAAATTAAATTAAAAGAAAATACGTTATAAGAAGAAGTGAAGGCGCATTTTAATATTTATGTCTCAACGTCCATCCATCCATCCATCACCCCCGTTTGCGTAACCACCACCACCGCACCGATCAATTATCTGTTTATCTCATCTACCTTTCTCTCTCTCTCATCACTCATGAACTCCAGGTATATACTCCTTTTCAGATGGATTTTTGTTACGGATTTGAGTTTTTGAAGTGATTCGAGTAATGATGTATAGATTGTTTGGTTTGTGAATTTGCAGGATCGATTGAAGTTTTCGTGGTGGTTGTCGTTGAGGTAATCTTCGATTTGTGCGTTGTTTTGTTAATTGATTGATTGCTTTGGTTTTCGTGTAATTGACGGTGTAAGTAGATTCATCATCTGGTTACAAGTTACAATACTTTTTGTTACGTTTGGTTTATTGTTTCAATTCAGAATTTTGTTTGAATTTACTGTTTGATTTGTTGTTTTTACTATGAGAAGTTTTCGATCATGTATTTTCTTTTCGTAAGTTCTATGTGTTTTTGAGATTTATCATGTAGTGGTTTTCTGTGGATTTCCTGGAGTTGGAAGGAGTGCTGGATTGGTGTTGAATTCAGTAGGTAAGATAGTTCGTTGGTGAATGTTTTCGACTTGATGAAGGGCTTACGCTTGGAAATTTTGATGGTTGAGGACGTGACTGTTAGGATTCTCATTTCTAGTGTTCATATCTGGGTTTTGGCTCAAGAAATCATACATGAATAAGAATCATAGGAGATATGTATGTGCGCCTGTTTAGCCTTCCTTAGTTAAATAGGTATTCCATTAAAGTATTCTACTGGAACTAATCATCATTTTGTTTTCTAATCAGGATTTCATAGTTGTAGACAGTAGACTTGATCATCCATCTCTCTTTTTGAAGTTGAATATATGCTGCAAATATAGATTCTTGTCACTTGTTGGTGTCCCCCTCATCCAAGTTGTGTATGACACATTTTAACCCAATAAAGATGATCATGACGCCCAATTGTTGCAAGTTTATTCCTTGTTTGTTAGTTCTGTGTCAATGTAGTGCTGTGTATCACACAATTAAGGCGCTTGGAATAGTTGCTTCCTAGTGGAGTCGTCACTTTGTAACTCGCCATTATTGTTCATCCAAAATTGTGAATTTTGGCTTGACTTGGGGTAAATTTACACCCACAAAATTTCAACATCAGTCTTGTTCCCTCACTTAAATGAATAACAACTTTGTCTTTTTATATTGATAAGCATTCATTCTTTAGGAACCAATGAAATACATCATTTTGTACAAATTGGAAAGTTACATTATTGCTCCCATTCTTGGCTTGGTATCCTTTTAAGTTCTTTATATCATATATCACTATTCTTGATTGGAAACATATTCTCTGAAGTAGTGTGGGAATCTTATGTTATTGGGTGCATAAAATTGTTGTATAGTGTAAAGGGCATTACTTTTGGTGGCATTGGCAACTTGTTGCATTTCAAAATCTAATTCTTTTTTCCATTATTCTTTTATAGGTGGATTGTCTTTGTATAAATCATTTAAAGAACATGTTGGGAGGAAGTAACAACAATTCATTAATCCCTGTATTTGTTGATGAGAACCTTTTCCAATACCCTTCAAACACATCAAACCAATTGCAACTATTCGGAAATGGTAAATTTCTATCCTTCTATAACAAGATTCAAAATTTCTTTCTTTTTCAAACTTATTAACATTCATCTGATCTTTGAATTTCCATATTGGCAGTTGCATGTAATGTTGATCAAGTAAATTATTCAGCAAGAGATCAAAATAGTCCTGTTTTTCGACCCAACAAACGACCAAGGGAAACTGAGGCTAATAACTTTATGCAGAAAAAGCTTCAGATTTCATTGAATCATAGTTTTTATAATGAGGATATTAACCCCCCTTCAACCATCATCCCAAACCCACACCATGTATCAACTGGTTTAAAGTTATCATATGATGATGAGGAACGCAACTCTTCCATCACTTCAGCAAGTGCAAGTATGACATTAGCACCATCCATCATGTCTTCTTTTGGTGATAGCATCACAACTGAACTTGATCGACACAAAGACGAATTTGAAAGATACATTATGATCCAGGTACTATTTCAATGGGGACCAAATATTGAAAATTCACATTTTTCTGTTCCTACTGAAAAAAAGACTTAAATGCTCTCTTGTTCTTCATCATTGATAGAATGAAAGCCCTTGAAACCTTTTCTAGTTAATGCAACCCCAGTGATCTGTCATGTATAGATGTGGGCAAAATAGTCATTTGACACGGGTTAGGGACTCAAAGGAACAGCTTGTACTGCGTTTTGGATGGCATGACCTTGCAATTTTTTTTTATCACTGCCAAAAAGGTGGGACATAAACCCACTCTTGAATTTTTGTAAATGCGAAAGACGTAAATGCCCTCCTCGTAAAAAAACCCTAGAAAACTTTTTTAGGTCTCATCACAAATGATATTATCATATATCATATAAGGTGAAAATAGTAAATTGACATGAGTTTTTGGTTAACCCATGTAAAAAGACTATTTTACCCTTTTATAATATATGATAGATTATTTGTGTCATTTCACATGTGTTGGCCAATGAAACCATAGGGGCAATTTTTCAACACAAAGTTGCAAAAAGTGGTATATAGCACATGGACCAAACATGTAATTTACTTTAATAATATTGTTGTATGAGTTTGTACATTATTTGTGTATTAACCCTTTTTTGGAAATTAACAATAACAGGAAGAAAACATGTTGAAAGGGATGAGGGACATAAGGCAGAGACACATGGCTTCATTCTTGGCTGCCATAGAAAAAGGGGTAGCCAATAAAGTACGCGAGAAAGAAGACGAGATCCAAACCATAAACCGCAAAAACAAAGAACTTGTGGAAAGAATAAAACACGTGGCAAATGAAGCTCAAAATTGGCACTACAGAGCAAAGTACAACGAGTCAATGGTGAACATATTGAAAACAAACCTTCACCAAGCACTGGCTCAGGGAAATGATAACCAAATCAAAGAAGGATTTGGAGACACGGATGTTGAAAACGATAATGATGCGGTTTCGTCTATGGATCCTAAAAATCATACTACTACTACTACTACTACTACTACTACTTGCAAGGCATGCAGAACAAAAGAGGTGTCGGTTTTGGTAATGCCATGTAGACACCTGAGTTTGTGTAAAGATTGTGATAGTTTTACAAGTGTGTGTCCCGTTTGCCAGGTAGTTAAAACTGTTAGTGTGGAAGTCTACCTGTCGTGAAAGGAGAAAGTTTTAACTTATAAAATGAAAAAAAATCATCCATACATATAACCTTTGTTTATTTGTTTATTTGTATATCGAGTGTTCTGGTATATATATGCGTTTAAGAGAAACTTATATATATTCAAATGATCCTTAACATGTTGAAAAAATATTATTTAATTGACCTCTACACAATGGACACACCTCTTCAACATAAGCCTCTCTCTCTCTCTCTCTCTCTCTCTCTCTCTCTCTCTCTCATGACTTTTTGTTTTTTCAACTTCTTTTGGTCAAGAGCTTCTTGACGTATCTCATCTATGGTGCCAACAATGATGAATAATTATTTACTCATTTCGAGGATGAACCTAAATACATTGATCAGCATTGGCACTTGGAATGAATCGAAGGACCAATAGATAACCCCGAACTTGGGATCGTCTTTTTTGAAGATAAAGACGGAGGATCTTCTTCAGGTTAATAAAGAAACACCTCGGTCACTCTGAATTCCTTGAAGCAATAATTGATTTGGCTTAAAGATCCAAGAAAGCTTTAGAGGAACAAGATTATCAGAGAGATTGAATGCTGACTAGCTGTACGAATTGGGTAATATAAATCAAAGACCTTATGATTGATTATCCGTGGTCCAACAAAAGTCACTCAGGGGGAGATTGTTACTGTACGAAAAAAGCGACCATGTTGAAGCATCCCACAGACCTTCCACTTCAAGTAGCTGAAGATGGAAGACATGTATGCCAAAAGACATCCATAGATAGAATCTTTTACTCGACTTTTAGTTTTACTTTGTAATAGGACAACATTTGACAATATCTTTTGTCAATGAAGAAATCAAATATTCATTCTATATTTTGTTCCTACTCATCTTTCTACTTTACTAGATCAAAGCAAGTATTCAAATCAAGAGAATGATTAAAAGAAAGCATTAGTATTATTTTATATGAAAACGAACAAAAGATAGAAATATATTTAATTTATCTTTGTCAATGTACTATTTGTAAAAAGAAAATATATTATCTCTAAAATACCCTACCCTACCACCTTAGTGTATAAATAGGTTATCCTAGGATAACTAAACACTTGTCCATTATACATGCAATTTCAATTCAACAACGTTTCTCTCTCAAATACTTTTATTCTTATGGTTTTTAGGTTGTTTAACACTCTTGACTTATTCATTTTGCAATGTAATTATATAGAAACTAATCAGTACACACAAATATTACAAACAAGTGTTACACACATACAATCTATCATAAAATGAGATTTTCATAAAATCTCTCTCTCTCTCTCTCTCTCTCTCTCTCTCTCTCCCACCCCCACCCCCCCCCCCCCCCCCCCCCAAAAAAAAAAAAGTAGAAGCCATCCTAAAATAAAAGTTATAAATGTTGCTTGTTTTGCACTCATTATAATCAAAGGATGGTCTAACACCAACAACTCTAAAAACATGCCAAAGGATGACACTGTAATCTTCTATGACTCCCTCTTATTGAGGCAATCCATCAATCGAAAAAAAAACACATAAAGACGATTTGTTGCGGTATGCCTGTTGGCAAATTATCCGAGTCAGATATGGCAATATGGCGTGTTCTGTCCATATCATACATTACTTGGAGTGTTGTCCAAGGTTTCGGAGTTTTCCTTAAGCCATAAGGAACCCTTTATATGGAAATTTTGTTTGATTATATTTAGAAATCCTAGTTATATTCTGATGTGTTTTCTTCTCATCATATACAGTTGATAATATCCTGTAATTGATTATTTAGATTGGAGTTTTGAGTCAGTTTTACTTCAATAAAATTACATGCAAGTTAGGCATCATACTTTACTGTTTTCTGTCGTGCTTTTTAATTGATATCAAAGCAACTCAGATTGTGTGGTGAACCTAAGCCTACAAACCAAAGCCTTGCGTTAGAAGGTGAATTTGCAACAAAAGAAAGAAGTTCTCTTGTTTGATTTATGTTCTCATGAATTTGCGACAATAGAGGAACCTTTTCCTGATTTTTTTTTCTGTTCGTATGGAGACCAAAGACTTGCCATCTATTTTTTATTGTTCGAGATCAGAGAGAGAACTCGTGTGGGGAACCTGATAAAAAAACAAATCAGTAAACCAGCAGTTTTCTTTTCCCGTTGTGGGTTTCACCAGCTTGGATCACTCGATAACAGCAGAACCATTCACATTGAGCGAGTTAAGCCTCTGGGAAATCTTGATCAACACAAGCAAGGCTACTCTATTCTAAAACCGAATCGTCCAACAGAAACAACGAGCCATCAAGAGGTAGAGGTCGAGGTTCAAATTATCGAGGTAGAGGACGTGGTCGGGGTAACACACAAGCTGACGGTCACTTAGAATCCTCTAAAATTGTAAAGATAAAAAACAAAAGGGAAAAAAACACGAACAAAGAGATCTCTCAAACATTCAATGTTACCGGTGTGATAAATACAAACACTTTGCTTCAAGATGCCCGAATCGAACCAAAAAAACATGAGGCAAACCTTAATGAGACACACGAAGGAGATATAAATCATAAAGAAGGGACATTCTTTATGATGAATACAATTCAAGAAACGGTGTTCTTGAACGAAGACAAATATATCCCTCCAAAAATTGTAGCAAACGACGATGAAGACGAAATTTGGTACTTAGACAATGGTGCGAGCAACCACATGACCGACAACTACTCTTATTTTTCTGAGTTAAATAAGTACATAACAGGAAATGTGATATTTGGAGATGGATCGTGTGTTAGCATTAAAGAAAAATGATCAATTTTGTTCGAATATGAAAGCGGTGAGCAAAAACTAATGAAGGGGGTATTTATTATATCTCTTCACCTTGTAGCAATGTTATTAACATCGGACAATTCTACAATAACCGGTTGTGACATTAGGATGAGAGGTGATTTCTTAACCATGCGAGATGGAGACGGAAGATTGCTTATGAAAGTCCCGAGAAGTGCAAGCCGACTTTACAAAATAAAGTTAAAGTTGGTAAACCACATTGCTTGCAAGCCAAATTCAATGAAGAAGATTGGGTATGACATGCACGACTTGGCCACATTAATTTTGGCGTGATAAACTTGATGCATAAGCTAGCTAAAGGGGTATTGGCAATCCAACATCAAGACCAATGTTGGGATTAAAACCCTAATTGAGATTTGATGAACAAGATGCGGAAAATAAGAACATACACAATAAAGAAGATATGTCGAATGATCACTCGATTTATTCAAAACATGAGGAATAAATTACACTTTCAGAATAGACTAAAGAATCTAACTCTACATAAGAAACCTCACAATGTTTGGCGGCTACATTTTTCCACACTCTTAACCCTAATTATGAATAATACATGACTATTTATAGGGAAAAGACAAGTCTTGGGCTTTTAACCTACACTTCATCAAGGGGGCCCATTGCCATAATCCATGGAGTACTTTGAACCCTACAATCTCCCCCTCAAAGTATGGAATGGATGACAAGGATTCAACTTCCAAAACAAGCATATAGCAAATAAGAAATGATCTCGCGACGAGGAATATTTGAAGCAATCCACGAATCTTGATTCTTCAATAGTCTTCAAAAACGGGTTCTAGGATATATATAAACCAAGCACTGAAGTAATGTCTTTAAACTTCATTTTCTAATGTAATCCCAAAGATCTTTAAGAAAGCCAAACCCGCCATAAAAACCATTTCAGAATTAAGAAACCAAATCACTTCTTGTCTTTGAAGAACTCCCCCTCCAAGTCACAATGATCTTCAAATAAGCTAATGATATAAGCCACCAAAAAATATCATGTAACAAACCAAATTTTAAGATTCGTAACGCCACTTGATCGATAAAATACTAGAAGTCGGAGATATATCAAGGCCTTAGAAGAGCTCGACGAAGAACTGCTACTATAAAGGCTACTTATCTGTAAAAGCTTTAGAAGAGCTTGATGAAGAACTGCTACTGTAAAACTGCCTTCATAATTCTACCACAAGCTTTATCAAAAATCTTCAAATTTGAAAAGTCACAAATCCAATTTCGAATGGCCATACCAAATTCTCCTCCGATTTATAATAAAAAATGTGATTATAAAACCTTCAAATGGTCATGAGAATGATCTTGAATGGATAAATAATTACTATGCTCCCCCGCGACAAAATGATATAAACAATGAAGTTAAAAATCCGAAAAAGTCAAAAAAATGTGACGTTATTGCAAAAAACGAATTTCCCAACCGCCAAGACTTGTTGGAATCCTTATTTTTCTGTTCACGAAAAAATATGTACATTAAAGAATCCAAAACTGTTCACCAGCCCTCAAATTTGCAAACTTTTCGAAAAATGGGTTGAAACTGTCACATTGCTGAAAGTTAGGGGATTAAAATAATAAATCTGCATCATACTCCTCTTCATTTGTAACAGTTTTTGGAAATGGTCCAAAGTCGCCGAGCTATGAAAACAACAGGGACCAAAAATGTAAATCCACTGAAGTTGCAGGGACCAAAAATGTAACATGAGTCATCTTCCCAATTTAGACGTGATTGACGAACACATTGATTTCTCTCTTTTACTAAAAACTCTGAATCCACCGATCATACCATTCGTTCCGAGCACACCGATACGAAAGCGAATCCGAGCCATTCGTAGTGCCAATTTCAAGCCGTTTCGCTTTTATCAGAAACATCGTCTGCGATAGGTTCGCTCTGAGTCCAATGGTGCGAACCAAGGCAACCCCGAATACTTGACCTCTCGCTCCGAATCAATCGATAACAAGCCAATGCGAATCTCCAGTAAAACCGAATCCAATCACAGGTTCGCAGTTGAACATTCGTAGGAGAAGAACGAGTGCGAGCCCGATTTCAATTCCGAACGTTTGCAGGTAACTTAATTTTGTCTTTTCGGTTTACCGGTAATAGCGAACAAATACACACCCATTTCAACAGGGTTCCAATCACGATTGCAAGTACATCCCATACGAATCCAATAATGTTCGCAACGAATCTGTTCGACCCAATTTTGACTTTTGCATTGACCACCAAGAACACCCTTAATTCAATCTAGTTAAATTACAAACACGATTTCATTCCTTTGAGTTCCAATTCAAATTGCGAAGCCCATCA